CTTTGTCCTTTACTTGGCTGCTAGTCTGTTGAAATTTACCCGCCAACTTCCTGGGGGGTATCATAAAGGTCCTTCATATTGCCATGTGCTGCAGCCTCTTCTGCCTTCGTCGCTAGGGTATCATAATATTCCCTTTTATCTTGTTTGATCTTACGCTTTACTTCACTGTTTGCTGCCTCATACCTCTTGTGTGCCTCTGCCTTTTCTCTCCTTGTCCTGCTTCTGTTGTACTCTTCCTTCAGATGTTTTCTTTTGCTGATAGACCCCATGGTTCCTGGTGTAATCCATTCCTTGTGCTCAGCTGTCTTAGTCCCTAATACTTCTACACATGTTCTGTTAATACTCTCTTTGATGTCACTCCATTCATCCTCTATATTCAGATCTTGTAGGGGCTGAAATCTGTTAGACAACGACAACCGGAAGCTCTGTACTGTATCACTATCCATGAGGTAGTGCACATTGTACTTTATCCTTGGATTTCGTGGTTGATAGTTACGCTTCAGCTTTAATCTGACTCTGGCAACTAGGAGGTGATGGTCTGTTGCAGCGTCTGCACCTCTCTTGACGCGTGTATCCACTAAAGATCGCCTGAACTTCTGTGAGATGCATATATGGTCTATTTGATTTTCTGTTACATGGTCAGGCGATACCCATGTTGCCTTGTGTGCTGTTTTGTGCGGGAACAAGCTTCCTTCGATGACAAGGTTGCAGTCTGCGCAGAAGTCTGCGAAACGTTCACCATTTTCATTTATTGTCCCCAGACCATGTTTACCCATAATCTGCTCGTATCCTCTGTTATTCTCTCCTATCTTTGCGTTAAAGTCACCCATTATCATTACAATATCTCCTTCCTTCGCTTTGTCAACTATTTCAGTAAGCACACCATAGAAATCATCCTTGTCCTCCTCAGTTGAATCATTTGTGGGAGCATAGCACTGGATAATATGTGCGGTTATCTTCTTATGTTTGGTCCTGAACCTGGCAGTGATAATTCTAGAATTTATAGGTTCCCATGAGATCATGGCTCTACGAGATTCTGATGTTAACATGAATGCGACACCCTCAGTGTGTGGTGCTCCGTCGTCCTGATGGCCTGAATATATGATAGTTGTGCCATCTGCCAGTTTCATCTCTCCTGATGAGGTCCAGCGTGTCTCGCTCAGTCCGAGGATTGATAACTTGTACCTCTTCATCTCATGCGCTATGATGGTAGCACGGCCTGGTTGGAACATAGTTCTCACGTTCCACGTGCCTAATAGGGATGCTGACTTAGGAGAAAGAAGAGCAATCGGCTGTGTAGGATCCTGACGGCTTTCCCTACGCTGCGTCATATGCTGTCTGTGTGACGACCCCCTATTCCCCAAGTCGATGGTTAAGTTGAAATTGATCAATGATTCTGTAATCCGTTACATCCACTGCACGGGGGATTAGCCTATGCAGCTTCACCAGAGCCCTGTTAGCCAGCATTACCTGTTTCCACCTCTCACGACGAGGACGTAGGGTTGGACTTTGAGAGACAAGTTCGTAAAGACGCGTAAAGAGGATCTTAAAGCTTTCTTCACGGCATCTTAACGGATTCGTAAATTTATCAGTTCATGCTGTGTCTTAGGTCTTAGCTTTCGTGACACCCGACTTAATGACTACATTTGCTTACGTATAATAGGAGATTCTAAGATACCCAATAACGCAACGACTTAACGGCTACTTTTTAACCAATAAATATCATTTTCATCAAACAGGTTATGTCAACGTTTGCCTTTACGTTGGCCTGGAGGCAGTCATCTCGGTTCTGTCATATCAGGCCGATCAAACATGCCACTTCTAATGTCTTGTCTACAAAAACAAGTTCAGTAACAGGCAGCATTTTTGAGCGAATTCCTAAAGAGGAGCTGGCACCGAAAACCAGACCACGGGTGCGAAACAGAGAGTTTCTCCCAGGCTCAACGGGTGACGGATTCCCAGAGTACTTGGCAGAGCCAAGTGACTCTTTCCCGCACGGAGTGCGCGTCAAAACTAGAGATCAGTCCTCACTCTTAGAAATGGGTGCAAATTGCATGGAGTACATAAAGAAGAACCTTACCGATAGGCAGGCGATATTGTTCCGCGGAATTCCAGCTGAAACAGCAGAGGACTTCTTGGCCTTAACCCAAGGAATGCGAGGCAAGCCTCTGAGCTATGAGGGTGGTGCTGTACCCAGACCCAAGGAACTGAAAAATTCTGACATCTACTTTTCCAGTGCTGAACCTGGAGCGTACACCATCGAGTTACACAATGAAATGCCATATCTCAAGACTTTCCCCAGGAAGGTAATTTTAGACTAAAACACAGACTAATAATGCTGAGACACCAGGGTATTTTGAGGGCGCTCCTCACCACCCCACTCAGTCACCAGGTTTATGATGCGCTATCACTAATTCAGTAGTTCTTTCGCTCATCCATACATTCCTTCATTCGTGGATAAGTTTACTCGTACTTTGGTTTATTTGCTCCCTTAATCAGTTCGTTCTCCCATCTGTTCAATCGTTTACCCATTCATTCGATTATTCGTTCTCTTGTTCACCCGTTCATTTGCTAATCCTCTCATTTACCCTTTTGATTATTGCTTCATTAGTCAATTGGTTCTTTGCTTCATTGCTTCACAGGTTCATTTGGTTTGTTCGCTAATACGTTTATTTTTTTTTATCCACTCGTCGATTCTTCCATTCTTTTATCCGTCCATTAACTTTTCTCATGCATTAATTGGTCTTCTTTAGATTTTCTTTTTCTGCTTAAAAGAGCCTGGCGAGAGTTGTGGTGGCGAGACTCCTTTGGCTAAATGCAGCGACATTGTACTCAAACTTGATCCCGAAGTCGTAAAAAAGTTGGAGGTAAAAGGAGTCATGTATGTACGACATCTGCCGGACAAATCACGATCAGACTACATGCCCTGGCAGCATCAGTTTTACACTGAAGACAGAAAGGTAATACAACTTGGTTCACATTCGGAATCCAATGTTAGAATTGATTGTCCTTTAAAGACAAAAAAAAATTGTGGAGATTTCAAAAGAAAATGACGATTTTCAGTCTCGAAGCCGGTTATTGAATTTACATTGATGACCTTATTTACTCTTTTAGGCAGCAGAAATAAGAGCACAGCAGCGAGGTAACACTGTAAGATGGGACGATAACGGTGATATGTACCTGACTTACACCGCGCCGGCCTTTCCTTCTCATCCAGCAACAGGAGAAAAAATCTGGTTCAACCAAGTAACAAGTTACCACTGTACTTACTCGAAAGCACTGCCACAGTACAAAGGTTCTCATCTCCCGGATGAGAAATATCCCCATAACACCTATTATGGAGACGGAAGTGACATCGAACCGGAAGTGTTACAACACCTCAGAGCAGTTTCATGGTCATGCGCAGTTGGGTTTCGATGGAAGAAGGGTGACTTAATAGCGCTTGATAATCTTAACGTTCAGCATGGACGAATGGCCTTCAAGGGAGAGAGAAAATTACTGGTGCATATGACGGCAGACTGAACCTACCCTTCACCTTGAGTTTTAGTTTGAAGAGGGATTATAATTAATGATCAAGTAAAAGTTGTCAGTTTTTTAGTTTTTCGACTAAGTTAGCGCACAGGAAACCCAAGTTCATGACACTGAACGAACCCGAACGTGACACATAGCGGCAGTGGGGGAATGATTTTTACGGCTAACGATTAGGATTTTGGCCATTTTACAGCTAACGGTTAACCCAAATGACACATTGTAGAAAGAGAAAATTTTTACAGTTATTTTTTTTTTTTACGACTTACGATCAAAATTTGTCAATTTTTACGCCTTACGATTAAATTTTTTAGCTGTTTTACGGTTAACAGTTAAACCATTGAGACCATCTTAGCGCTCTAGCGCATAATAATTTTACTTAGCTTATTTTTGATCGATCAGTTATGCCGATAAAACAAAAGACTTCGGTGAGTTTTGCGTTTTAAAACAAATTTACATACCAGATTGTGTCCATAACGTTTCCCACAGTTAATGACTTGTAACGAGTTGATATACATTCAGAGGCGGAAATAGAAGAATGGCAGAAATAGCTCGAAAGTCAGTTTTCTTCGCACCTATTAGTCATGAATTATTATAAATAATAATGACATGATCAACAACTTAAGAAGCTCTTGATTGTTAAACAAATTCTCCTTTTTATAACCTTAAGAATTGTATAGAAAAGGTATGGAGCATATGCATACTGATGTTAGGGTGTAAAGGCTAAAGCTGAATTATAAACGCATTTTGATTGGTTCTTGCTTATGATCTATTTGAGGACCGACAAATAGATGACGTCACCATTCATAATTTTTTGCTTTTTTATTACATAAAAGAAATAGATTCCATGTTTCTATTGATCCGTTTTACAATAGATCACAGATGACGTCAAAATGTGGTGAGAAAATCAGTGACATTTTTTGGTCTTAGCACATTTTGACGTCATCCGTAATCTATTCCTGAACAGAATCAAAGGAATG